CCAATTAGATTTTTTATCGTAGGCAGATACACTGTACCTTTGTTTATGAGTTGGCAAAATTCCAGGTGTATATCTCTTATAGTAAAACAGTAATGGATTTTATATGGTGAGTCCTTAGAAAGCTTAAATTTCCATACGAAATTTCTGGGCTGGGCTACGTTGAACATTTTAGTTTTTTAGTCTAAGATAAGTAATGTTTGTTTTTCGTACACGCTTTGCACCCTTCTCTTTTCTCCTTTGCTTCTTTTTTTCAATAACAGAGCTAATCTCCACCACCTTTAATATTGTCCGATAATGGTTTCAGCGTGAAGAATAATAGAGTTACTCTGTACGTTGGGCCGTGTATACGCCACACACTGTCTATTTTTGAAAAAAAATAAAACGAAAAGAGATATCGAAATAAATGTAACATTGTTTTAAAGCTTTTGTGATGGGGAATTCAGGAAAAATGGTCTCGTTTGGTAGAATAATTACCTTGATTTTTAAAATGACTTTCAAAAATTGATTGTTTAATTTTTTTCCTTTTACCACGTTTTATCGACTTGATTTCTTGTATGTCCAGACAGACTTTGCTATGAGAAAAGTTTCTAAAAAAAACTGCAAAGGAGCAAGGGGCTAAGGAGCAAAGGATCTTGGCCGGAGCGGAGCTGGAGCAAAGAGCTAAACAAATTTATTTGCTCTATTTTTACTTGGAAATGTTGTTCATTGCACAATGCCCAGTAGTCAGGGATAACTGCCACGTCAATTTGAACGGCGATGAAAAAACAATGACGTTCCAACCAGCAGACATACGTCAATTTTGTCGACAGTGCGGTGTCGTACAATTTTACGTATCCGAAAACCGAACGGGAAACGACTACAATTTTCATTCATTTACGTACTCAAAAATGTTAAAAAAATGCAACTTTCCTACCCGAATACGACTTAAATTTTCATTCATTTTCGTATTCGGAAAACGTTCGAAAATGATGATGTTATTTGAAAACAATAATTCTATTTTATTTGTTTAAGCTGTCAGTGTTTGTTAGCTTTCAGAAGGTGCCAGGTTCGAATGCCCTCGGCGCTATCTTATTAAATTTTTTTCTCGAACCACGAAAAAGTATCTGTGAAGTGCAGTAGGAAAGCGTATTGAACAAAAAATTAAATAATACGAATTTTAGAAAAGCAGCCAAAAACGTATCAGTTTCAAAACAATTTTCGATTCTTGTCTGTATATACATACATTTCTGCCGCACACTTTAGTAGAAAAAAGGATCGTCAAAGTATTCGAAAATGGAATCGGAAAACGGACAAAAATCAGAATTTCAGCCACTTTTTTCTTTTTTCGGATACATTTTCGGGTTTTTTGCTGGCTGGGTTTATATCTGCCATTTTATTTACAAGGCAAAATATATTGGGATCTTATATATCTATGTAAGCGACATTTTTATTATGTTTCTTCGGATACAAAAGTGCTTCTAGTGCTAGGGCTCGACAAGTAAGTAATTAAATAAATAACAAAAAAATATTGGGAGCGGTAGCCGAGCTGAGAGCGGATCTCATCTGGCGAATTTAGAACTAGTTCGGAATAGATTTTTGCTTGGCGGCTTTTTCGTTCAAATACGCCTTCAGTCTGCACTTGGCAGATGCTTTTTCATAGTTTAGTAATACAAAACAAAAATTTGTGTTAGCATTTTAACATTTTGGGATCTTCTGGAATCTAAACAATAACAGCAAGCGCCTCTGTAAATTCAGCTACAGCCAAAGGTATGTAAACGTGTTCAGCGTTGCCGCTTTAGTAATTTTTAACAAAACTTGGTAATATTTTTTTTCACTATTTCTAAAATTCGGTAATTTGGTAATTCATTTTTCAGTTTGTTAACTTTTTAGGAAGTGGCCCGTAAGCGTTTCCTTTTATAGAAATACGAGGTAATCTCTGAAAGTTTCGCAAGGCGAAAAGTTGTTCCAGCGTTCCTTGGCTACTATATTTGTGTGATCTCCAACAAACTGCTTGAAAGTTACTATTACTATATCTACTATGTCCTTTCCTGGAAGGTTTTGGGTGGTCGTACCTTTCCTTTTCAGTTCGTCAGCTTTCCGGTGTACCCCGGCAACCATCGTTCTTATTTGGAACATATGTCATCACTTTGAAGGGAAATATTCCGACTAAAAATTTAACCGCTAGGTGGCGCTGGGGTCGGGATATTGTTCTTTTATAGTGGGAGAATGATGGATATCTACACATATACATACATACGTCACAATAAAATGTTGAAACCCCTTTTTTGAGTGCACCAATATATCTCTTTAATCAACTATGCTGGGGAACTGAAACACAACTTCATCAAAATTTAAAGTTAAAACAAGCTGTGAAACAACTATTTAACAGTTTATCCTTGCGATGAGCGGTCCACACAAGCGATTCATCGCCGGAGATCTATCGCAGCAGATGAACAATCGTTAATCGAGACAGCAAGTTACGGCTAAAAGTGGTAGTCAGTGGAATGGCTGCATCTATATACATATACATAGCTAGGCAAGAATCATTCGACTGGCAACCATTTTCTCCTAGATTTTTAAATCGCAGTGATCGATTATTACTTTCTTTTTAATTTTTGGGAAAGAGTAAATTTTTTTGTGAAAATTTTGAAGATTTTTTTAAATCTTGCATAAAGTTTGAAATCTTATTTATTGTGAGTTTCGTTATAGATAGTCCTATCTACATACATACCTATATACATAAAACGGTAGCCATGTTTGTTGTTCGGACTAAACTCAAAAACCACTGCATAGATTTCAGTCAAATTGTCGGAGGTTATACCTTTCACATATGGTCCTATTATAGACTAACTACTGGAAAACTCGCTTGGTGGCACTGGAGTTGAGTTATTTATAAGGGTCGTATTTAATACCCGATTTCGTTCAGATTAGCAATGTGAGCAACCTGGTATGATGCATCCGTTTATTAAAAATGGACCCACTGGGTGGCGCTGGAGTCGAGATATTTAGAAAATCCTTATATTTACTACAACCTGGTTGAAATTCATAATGCGTATTCATTTAATGATAAGCAATGGTTTTGGCGAAAAGGGACCCAAGGATGGCGCCGCAGCCTTAATATATAGAAACCCCATGTGCCTGGTCTACTTTAGCCCTATTTTTATTTTATACGAATTTACTTTTCAGATGACTAAATGAAATTGTGTAAGCGCACCTTTGTCTGACGCCCCATTACACCCTTAATGCGATCTTGCATTTACCTCCGATTAACGAAATTGCTCGGGGTGGTCGTTATTGAAGCAGTAAGACTCAAAGAAACCAATTCATAAATATCAAGACGAATTGTAAAAGTGGCGAATTGACAAGGAAAGATTCGACCACATCCGTCCAAGAAGGAACACGGTTGGTATATCAATGGCTTCATTTGAACAATTTTTAAGAGATCACATGACATATTTAGCCAATGTACGGGAAAACTTTTCATCCTGTGGGGCAGCGAGGATTTACGGCCCTCCTGTAATAGAAAAGGCTCATCTGTGCTGCTTCCTTATACGGACCAATGTTGTAGTTGCAAGCTCAAAGAAGATTATGCACGCTTGGCAGAGATTTCACATTTGGAAATAAGAACATCGGTAAAACTCATTACATCGAAAGCGATTAGTATTCCATATGGCATTGGAGCGCTACTATTTTTTACCTATATATATATGAAGAGGATTCTGGTCTTTAGTCGTTTAAATTTTTTTACTTTACACACCGTTTTTTCTTTTAAATGCCATTTTTGCATTGGCCCACCCAAAAGCAAGCGCGCATTCGCTAGTATTTTTATAAAAATATAGTTTGTTATTTAACAAAAAACCGTATAAGTCCAAGTTTTAAACCTTATGTAATATTTGAAAAAACCAACTAGCTTTCGTAAAAATTTCAAGCTTTTTGATTAGATTTCTGAAAAAGATTTTATCTACTTAAATTGAATGAGCTACAAAGTACATAAATATATCTAAGTAACACATACCTTCTTCCACCAGCTAAGTCCTTGCAGGGCGGCCCGACAACATTGAGGGAACGGATTAATTCTGCCTGGTCGAGGTCATCGATAGTTTCGATAGTCGATAGTCACAACCATCGATAGTATCGATACTATCGAAAATGTCGAGACTATCGATAGTTTTGATTAAAAAAGTCCAAAAATTAAACATAACAACTAAATGGAAAATCAGATCAGAATTGCTAAAATATGTCTATATTTTTGATAAGGCACAAAAGTTTATCAACGATTTTTGTCTTCAAGCCGCATCCGCGCTCTTAAATATGCATGTTACTGAATAATGTCGATGTTTTCGATAGTCAAAAACCATCGATACTATCGATAGTGCCATCGATAGTTTTCCAGCTCTAATAGCAATAGGTTGCTTTTCGATGAGTACCGCGCATGCGCTGAAGCGGAATCAAGAACAGGCCAGTTTAATTACAATCGGTTTCGCTTTGTTTGTATAAGTAGTTTTTAAATAGCAATTTTAAGATACACATTTATCAAATTATTTGAATACCGATAAGAGCAATAACATCATATATATTTGGTTTTAGTTAGCCAATTAGTTCTCATTCCAACTGGGCAAACTAAAATCTTTTCTGATTGAAATAATTTTATCGGAATCGAAATTCAGAACAGGGCTGATTGACGAATAACTGCGAAGATTACCAAAAAAAAAAAACGTTTTTCGAAAAAGTTTCGTAAACGCTTCTTTGAAAAAAGCGGGTATTGTTTCCGTGTTCATCGAGCCAAAATGAGTTTGGAAAGCATTTTTTTCTAAGGTTAACGATTGATAAATATTCTTATAAGTACAAAAACTTTTCGCGAAAACTTTTTTAATGTAGGCAAAATTTGTTTAAGAATTGTTTTATGGTAACCATAAGCCAATAAACATAGTTGTGTCAAAACTGCAAAATATTATTACTGTTTATTTTCTAATGGAAACAAAATAGAAATCTGGCGCTTGTTGTAGAAACTTGGTTTTCTCATGGCCTCAACACGTACATCATCTAGGCGCTCTTTAAGCACAGACTCACGAATGCTTATAGGAATCGTTGCTGATTTGGTAATAAATTTACTACATGTGTATATGTTTATATGTACATATGTATTATTTAGTTTTCGATATTTTTGTATACAGGAAACGGTAATTGGGTTTCTACTAGCAGGCATTGGAGAGGCATCTGGTTCACATCAATTAGAAAAAAATTTCATGGTTGTTACGCATTACACGCCGATAGAAGATATTGAAATATTTTTTGCAAGTTTATGCACTCGAAAAAATATAGGAGTTATTTTCGTGGCAAGTGATTTAAAAATGATTCTGATCCAAGCTATATCCCGGGCGGCCAAAACAATGCCAATTATTTTGGAAATTCCTACAAAAAACACAATTGTGAAATCTATTGAGCTTAAGAAACAAAATTTAAAAAGAATGGAAGTAAAAAAATCGTATAAATAAATTATCATATTATTAGATGTATCATGTATTTGGAACGATTTTGCGTCATCCCGTGAGCCAACGCGAAACCAGTTCTTATCCATAATAAATTTGACAAAAGACGACGAAAATACACGGGATACAAAAAATATAAACTATTTCAGCACAAAATTTTCAGTGAAAAAGTATAGTTTCATCGACCTTTTCGGCTATATCATTGCCAAATATGACTCTATTCTTTTCATGTCAGACAGAAAGTGAAATTCAGACCCAATATTTCCACACATTTCGTGAAAATACGATAAAAAATTAGGCAATTGCTTGCAATGAATTGAATTTAAAGAAGCAAGATATGTTTTCAGAAAATCTTCTGTTTTTCGGCGGAAATTTTGATTGGCTAAAGAACGTATAGACCAAAATGCAAACATTTTTTCCTGGAATATTTAACCACTTAAAACAACGGTGGGCAAACGCGGCTCTTTAAGCCAAATGCGACTCTTTGCTTAGCTCTTTTTACTTTCTCTATGATTGGAACATTTTGGCTTTTTTTACTTTCTAAAATACATATTTCTTTGCTGGACATTCTTTTCCATTGAGATTGTGTTGTTTTTTTATTTTATTCTTTTTATAGACACATACGCACATTCATATCGGAATATTACCCGCAATTGGAGAATGAAAATTGGAACATTTGCAAAACTTGAATTTGTCTCTAGAAGGAGACAAATTATTTTGATTTGTCGCAAGTTATTTTCAGTTTTGAAGCTAAACTAAGTCTATTTTTATGATTTAAAAAAAAAAGAATATTTCATCATTTTTCATGGCTAGAAAAAATATTGCACATGGATTAAAAGTATGTATTGACAAGTAATTTTTAGCAAAAAAAAAACCGACTTCAATTCTCATATAAAAAAAAATATATATATATGCATATATATCTTATGATCCACTGATCGGACCGTAACCAGATTAGTATGGGACCACCTCTGAGACACTACCTTTGCGATGCAAAAAGAATGATCGAAATCGGCCGAAAAAATATTCCGACGAACTGATAACCTCCTCCTTTTTTGGAAGTCGGTTAACAATTGAGGATGAATTACAATATCCGAAATACTCCTTTTTAAGAAAAGCGAAGAAGAGTTAGAGTTTTTGGAATTAAAAGAAGACAAGGCACTGGAAATGCAACATAAAGCTTTACTATTGCTTGAATTCCGGAAATAAGTACTAAATTTTAAATATCCGCTGCTGAAAACAGCTATATTTTCAATTTTTGGTACAATGTATAACTGTGGTCTGCACTCTAGAATGAAATTCGGAAAATCAGAGTACCATACACAATTGATTGCATTCGCGTACCTGATAAATAATTATGGAAAGTTATAAAAACTATCAGATTTTTGTGTTCGCGTACGCAAAAAACTTGCAAGGTAGGGGGAATTGAGAGAGCAACAATGACATTTCATTTTGAAGGAAAGTTGCTAGTTTCTGCTGGAACAATTTTTTGCCAACTGCAATTTGCCAACAAGACAGCAGCTGATCAAAAACAGCTGGTTGGAATTTACGCAAATCCCTAAATTGAATTTGATGGTTTGCGAATAATTAAACTTGTAAGAAGTAAGTAATTACTAGAGAAGATAAAAATATGCATTTGCATAAAAAGCATATTTTTGCATTTTTTTGTCATTTTTGGATGTGATAGCATATTTAAAGTTATAGCGCATATTTTAACTATCAAGCATAGTTTCGGCATATTTTTTGTTAAAAGATTATTTAAAAATCTTTTGTCAGTGTTTTTTAAATGTATATAAATGCATCCCTTACATATATTTTAATTTTAACATAAATAATCTGGCAGCATACAGTCGTCTCCCTTTCGCATACACAAAATATCTAGTCATGCACTTGTCAAATCTGTGCGCGCAGCTGTTCGCAAAATGCCAATGCTTGGAATTTTCATATACATACTATATGCCTTTTTCAGTACCACCTACGAAAATTCCATAAATTCTACATACAAGGGCTCATTCAAGTGTTCACATGTTGATTTGTTTTGATATCTATAATGGTTTTCAAGTTAAAATTTTTTTTGGTTATTGTTTAAAAAAATATTTTTCATGCTTTAACCAAAACTTATAAATCAATTTTTCAAACTTATTACAAACTTTAGATGAATTCAACAAATTTTCATAAAAATTTTGAACTTTTGAATCTGAATCTTAGGACATTTTTGGGTGTGCAGTTTTATAGCCCAAAAAATGTTAGTATAATAAAGTGCAAGTTTAAAGGGGCTAAAAATCGCGTTGATTTTTAAATATTTTTTTATATAACGAGTGCATTTTATAAAATCTGGCGTTGATTTTTTGAAATTTCTTTGCGCACGGTCTTGCGCATTTACCTTCAAATTAAATTCATGTTTATATGAAAAAAAAGTACAAAAATCCCTCAGCAAAAAAAAAGTCTTTAACAATCCATTAAATTTTTTAGCCCCTTGAAACTTGCACTGTATTAGACTAACATTGTTGTTAAGATTCAGATTCAAAAGTTCGAAATTTTAGTGAACATTTGTTGAATTTATCTTAAAAAAAATCTAAGTCAACCTAAAAAAATAAAATAAAAATTTTGAAACCAATTTTTGATCGCAGTCATAATTCACATGGAATTTTTCACGTATACATATGTATGTATAGTGTGACCACTTTTCCAAAAACTCATTTACGTACACAAAAGATTGTAGCAACACAAAATTTTAAAGAAAAATTTTGGAAACGATTTTATTGCTGTTTATTAGTCGATATCCAAACACATTTTTGACGTACAAACTTCAGTATATTTATTTGCGAATTGAGAAATATTTAGGTACATATATACATTCAAAGCTGAAATAATGCAATTGCTGATAAATTAAATCAATCATTAATCAATTCATTGATCTTGAGTGGTTTTCCTGAACGCGTATTTTCCATCTGATGCAATTTCTTTCAGCATTTGAGGTTGCTTCTTTACGAATTCGAAAAATTCCGTACAAGTCATTTTAATGTTGTACCGAACAAACAAAAGATCTCGCAATGTCTCGATTTTCAGTTGTGATTTCTCATCGCTTCAAATCTGATTGATCAAAGAAAATACGCGTTCAACGGTAGCTGATGTGCCTGGTAAGCAGAGAACATACGATACGATTCTCACCATGTGATTGTATGGGACCTTCTTTTGGTCAAAATGTCGAAAGCATTCAACCCAGCGTTCATCGGTGTCAGTGTTATTTTCTTCCCACGATTGGATCTTCTCTGGGGTAACGTATTTTTCCAAATATGTGAACTGATCGAATAAATCAGTGTCAGATGATTCTATGTCAAAATGATTATTCTTTGCAATGCTCTTCGCGGTACATACTTTCGATAAACTCCCATTTCGGTGGTTGATCAAGTGCACACCAGGCGAATATCATTATATGGTCAAATTGTTCAATCCACTTTTCAATGTATTCGATACATGATTCTAAGGAACAAAATCTTTAGAATAAAAAAAGAATCAAAATTAACATACGAACCGTAGAATTGACGTATGTATGTTGGGCGCTCCTATCGATAAAATTTACGTACAACAATATTTCTTCGATTCAATTTACGTACATTTTCTTGATTTTGTGGTTAGCTTCGGTACACGGTACATGGCTACAAATTTACGTACCGTACGTGTCGTTTACGTACAGTTGGTCACACTACATATGTACATACATATTCATGTAAGTTTTTTCCAGTAAAAATTTCTTTTTTCTCGGAGCTCCCTGAGTGAAATTTTCGTACCAAATTTTGATATAAACGTTATTTTTGTGGGTTTTCCAGCATTCCTCATCCTCCCCTAATATGTACATTAGACTGCATCACTCCCCATACAAAAAAAAATCGGTACTATTTTTCATTGGAATTATAAAATATATTATATCTTAAGACTTCCACCAAAATATTTCGGAAAAATATTAGGATTTAAGTGAGCTGGACTGATTTGAAGATACCTCCAAAAATTGAGTTTTTTATGAATAAAAATTGTTGCTTAAAGATTTTTTTGAAAATGATGAGATTTTTAATGCTGTTTTTTAACTTTTTTTAAAGATTGGTATAAGAAAATCTTGAATAACTGAACCTAAGCTCTTCGGATTTAGACTTAAGAGGTGGCATTTGAAAGGTATTTGCTCTACATTTTTATTTCTTTACTAATAAACTCATTCAAAGGATGAAAGAGAAAGGTAGGATGAAGGAACGTCATTCAAAGTTGAATTAAGATGTGTTGGTATTTGAAAAAAAAAAACATTGGGAAACGAATGAAGAATGAATTAAGAAACAAAATTTAAAAAGAATGGAAGTAAAAAAATCGTATAAATAAATTATCATATTATTAGATGTATCATGTATTTGGAACGATTTTGCGTCATCCCGTGAGCCAGCGGGAAACCAGTTCTTATCCATAATAAATTTGACAAAAGACTACGAAAATATACGGGATACAAAAAATATAAACTATTTCAGCACAAAATTTTCAGTGAAAAAGTATAGTTTCATCGACCTTTTCGGCTATATCATTGCCAAATATGACTCTATTCTTTTCTTGTCAGACAGAAAGTGAAATTCAGACCCAATATTTCCACACATTTCATGAAAATACGATAAAAAATTAGGCAATTGCTTTGCAATGAATTGAATTTAAAGAAGCAAGATATGTTTTCAGAAAATCTCCTATTTTTCGGCGGAAATTTTCATGCAAAAAGAAGTATCGAAATCGGTCGACGTGGTCCAAAGTTATGCCGTAACATACATAAAAAAAAAAAAAAAAATATTCCGACGAACTGATATCCTCCTCTTTTTTTGGAAGTCGGTTAAAAAAATATTTGTCGATTTGAAATTATTGAAATGTACGTTTGCATATTTCATAAATTTTTTTTTATGAAACATAATTGAGGATGAATTACAATATCCGAAATACTCCTTTTTAAGAAAAGCGAAGAAGAGTTAGAGTTTTTGGAATTAAAAGAAGACAAGGCACTGGAAATGCAACATAAAGCTTTACCATTGCTTGAATTCCGGAAATAAGTACTAAATTTTAAATATCCGCTGCTGAAAACAGCTGCGGCCCGTATATTTTCAATTTTTGGTACAATGTATAACTGTGGTCTGCACTCTAGAATGAAATTCGGAAAGTCAGAATACCATACACAATTGATTGCATTCGCGTACCTGATAAATAATTATGGAAAGTTATAAAAACTATCAGATTTTTGTGTTCGCGTACGCAAAAAACTTGCAAAGTAGGGGGAATTGAGAGAGCACAAATGACATTTCATTTTAAAGGAAAGTTGCTAGTTTCTGCTGGAAAAATTTTTTGCCATTTTTTGAATTTACGCAAATCCCTAAATTGAATTTGATGGTTTGCGACTAATTAAACTTGTAAGAAGTAAGTAATTACATATTCGTTTAGTCAGTGAACTGTGTCTGGATAAGACTTCGGGATTTGTTTTCTTACTTCTTAAATTTTATACCTTTGAATGTAAACAAAATTTCTATCAGCTGTTCGTCTAACTTGCAAGTTTCTGCAAATTTTCTGTTCGCGTACTGTTTAGAATATTTTTCTCTTGTGGGAGAATAGCTGACATTTCGCAGGAATTTTGCTGTTGGACATATTTTACTGGAGATTTAAACGAACGTACCTATTGACTAACCAACATTTAACAGAACTGTTACGAACGGCTTTAACTGACGTAAAACCAGATTTTAAAAATTCGGCCAAAGGGATCTTTTGAATTTTCTTTAATATCTATCTTACGTACATTTGAATATTAGTAAAATTAATGATTTTCATTTCTATTTTCTATTTCTATTTTTCATTTTTGTTGTTTTTTTTTGTGGCTCTTTGTAGCATTTAGAATTTACATGTGGCTCTTATCGGCCTCGGCCTTGCCCATCCCTGACATAGACCTAAAATTTCTACAGCGCAAGTACAAAATTTGAGATCGATTTTAAGCGATAGTTATTCATATACCCACATATGTATGTACCATACATATATTATTTTTCATATCAATTCAAGTCTATTACATGCGCCCCACGCTTTTCATTTTCAATCTCATAAATTGTTTATAATGGTTTTTGCTAAAATTACAAAATCAAAAGTTATCCAAACAAATTCTATGGGACTGGGAAATATTATTTTTTACTTTTTAGTCCATTTATAAAAGCGTGGTGTATTAAAAAGTTTTATTTTATTTTATTTATTTTCTACTTTATAGTCTTGTCTGTATAAAAATTTTGCAATAGATATTAAAATAATTCAACGATAATAATGGATTGCTGCACACACATGCACATACAGGCACATATGTACATACATAGGAGCACCAATTAATTGCATTTATAGAAATGGCGTGTCGTCCATTTCCGCTGTAGCGTATGTAGTGGATATTTTTAGGCGCAATATATAACTACCTGCGGCGATGCGTCATCTACCTCTAGAGTTTTGATATGATACCAGGCGACGAGGTTGATGTCTAGACTTTTATAGGATCTTTGCAAAGCAAAGGTTTTATAGAAATGAAAGGTGTCTGGACACTAGGGTGGTCCAAAAACAGTAAAGTCGGAATTGTAATGCTCTCACACCCTATGATTGTTCTATATCGAAAAAAGTATACCCCTATTTCTTTATTTTGAAATCAAAAAATAATTAGGAGTCGCTAAAAACTCTCAAACTTTTTCATATATTTTTATATGGGAAAAATAAAATTTTTTGTAGAAATGGTATAGAATTCTTGAAAATGAATATTTTTCGATCGGAAAACTCTGGTTCTCTTCAGCAAAGCTTTCAATAATAATACCCAATTGCTTATTTAACCATATTTTAATACTAACGATTTTTATTGGTCGCCGCATTGCATTTTTCGGGGTTTTTGGCGGACTTATAAATTATAGTTGCGATGAAAAACTTGCTAAATAAACAATTGGGTATTATTATTGCGAATCTTCTGCAGATAAATAGAGTCTTCTGGTAGAAACATATTGATTTTTAACTATTCTATAACATTTCTTAGAAAATTTGTTTTTATCCCCATATAAAATACATGGAAAACTTTGGGCGCTTTGAGCGACTTCTAAATATTTTTTGTTTTCAAAATAAGAAATAAGGGTATATTTTTTTCGGTAAAGAACAATCCTAGGGGGTGAGAGCATAAAAATTGAGACTATACTTTTTCACGTACATTTTTGGACCACCCTACTGGACACACAACATTGCAAGTTGATAATATAATAATAATAATAGATTGGCGCTTACACATATGTTAGTGTTTGGCCGAGCTTCTTCTCCGATTTGTAGCGTGCGCCTTGAGAAGCTGTTTTTCATGGCAGAAAAACACTCGGAGGTTTGCCATTGCCTGCCGAGGGACGACCGCTGTTAAGAAAAAACCTTTTTCTATATTTTTTGCGATGTTGCTTTGACCAGGGTTTGAACCCAGGTGCTGCGGAGTGGAAGCGCGCACTGCTTACCACTACACCACAGCGGCCGGCAAGTTGATAAAAGCGTTGTAAAATAACAAATTTCGTATAAAAAACTGTAGAAGAAATCGTCAGATTATATACTTCACGTTATCCTTGAGCCATCTCTTTAAGGCGCTCATGGAAATGATTTTTGGTTCCTTTTTGTTTCTTTACCGCCGAGCTGTGAGCTCAAATTAGGCTAATGTTGTTGTAGATTTCTAAGGACTATAATTATACATATCGTCGTTTAATGTAAAAAACCGCGTATCAACAAAATGCAAAACCGTGTATGTGAAGTTGCATTAATTATTTTCTAGAGAGTAAAAACGCTCATATTTCAAAATGGTTCTCTTTTTTATAAAGCAATCGCATTTCTGACTAGTATATTTCAGGACGAATGGATTACGATTGAGCCAAGAGCTTGTGTGAGAAAATCCAATTTTTGGCAGCAAATGTCAGTTACGCAGTTTTGCAGAATGACGATATGCGATTTTGTACTTTAAATGACGAAATATTTAAATTCGGGCCGCAACCTAGAGTAAGCGCAACCCAAGCAGTGGAACAGTACTTCGTAGGGTGGTAATTTTTAGCTTTGATAACCAAAAATAATGAGGTAAAATGAAAATATTTCCAGATAGATGTAATCATTAGTTAGACTCTTTTATTGCATTTTTAGTAAACACATATGTTTGTTCTTTTTTGATTTTTTAAATTACATAGAGTAAGTGGTATGTATATTAGTGAATGTTCGTTGGTATACATATATGCATACATAAGTACGGCTATATTTACATATACCATAGCTGGGCAATTATGATTACGATTACATTTCAATTACGATTGCTGTAATAATAATCTTTAAAATATATATATGATTACGATTACCATTACTTGTATATTTATAATTGCAATTATTGCAAATGAGCGGAACTTTCGCCGAAAATTATGTAAAATTGAGTTAAGGTCGAAGTAAAACTGTTAATCAAATATATCAAAAATACGCGAATTCATAAGTTAGGGCCATTTTGATGTATAACAAGTAAAGAAGTATAAGTTCGGGCGAAACCGAATTGTATAAATATACCCGGCGCAAGTATCAAATATCGTCCTTTCAACTTTCTCTAAACTACCTAAAAGTGTATAACAGTCTTATTTATTGTTAATACGTTATTGTAAGTATTAACTTGGAGTAAATGAGTGTCCTCAGTTATTGAAATATCGAAACGGGAAGAGGGTGTAATTTAAGTCCGATTTGAATAACTTTTAACAAATTGCTTTTCCGCACCAAGGCTATTAAGTGCACTAAGTTTGGTAGAAATTGATAAATAAGTAATTTGTGGTCATAAGTGGGCGGCATCACGCCCAGAATCCAAAAACTTATAGTAATCTAATTGTATGCTAAGTGTTTACTGAATAGTCGATTTTAAGTTAATTAGCTTCAGTAGTTACTGATTTATCGCAATTTTCGTGTTTCAGTGAATAACCGCTATATGGGAGGTGGGCGTGGTTATTGCCAGATTTCAAATATTTTCAACAGCTTTCATAGCTGGACCCTAAGCAAAGCTTACCGAGTTGGGTAAGGATTGGTGAAGCGGTTACTGAGATACGGTATTTCATCAAAAGTGGGCAAGGTCACGCCCATTTTCCCAAAGATTTCATAATAGTATTATCTTGATCCAAATTCTTCTTCAAGTACTAATTTTCAACAATTTGGATCCAATATTTAGTGAAATATCTAAGTTTTTGTATTTTATGATAGTACCATTATATGAGAAGGGGCGTGGCTACAGTCCAATTTCGCCCATTATCTATAGCAACCTACCTTGGATAAAGGGCATCCCTCATACGAAATTTCGCCGAGATATCTAAATTTTTACTCGAGTTATCGTGTAAACGGACAGACGGACGGACAGACAGACATGAATTAATCGACTTCTCTTTTCATTCTAGTAAATTATGTATACATTTGTCTATATCTATCTCGATTCCTTGAGGCTGTTACAAACAACCGTTATGCGAACAAAGTTATAATACCCTTGTGCACAAGCGCCCTCAGGTATAAAAATCAATATTGGCTGTAAGCAAAACTAATTTCTCGATTACAGTAATCGTAATGGTTAAATTTTATGGATTACACTTTAAGTATTTGCAATCAAGCATTTGATAATTAAAAATTTAATAATTGGAATGTTAAAAATTTTCTTGAGTAATCTCAATCCTAACTATATAATCAAAATGTAATCGTAATCCTAAGTGCCCAGCATTGCTTTATATCAAGAGACTTTAAGAAAAAAATAAAAAAAATGTAAATAAACTTCTAAAGGTTATGTTTATGTTGCTTGGTGATATCCCCGCCATTTCTTCCTCTTGTTTTCTTAGTTTCATTCTTGCTTTGATATATTTTCTATTCTTCACCTGCCGCTTTATCTTCCGCATTTAATACCTCATCCAGAGACGCTATATCACTCTCTGGGAGCCGTAAAGCATTAATTAATCCACTGGTGTCCTTTTGATTTTTGATCCCATCCGCTTGATCTTTAACGATATTGCTTGTTTCTGAGTTGCTCACCTACAAATAGCAAAAGGAAAATATTTATAATTTAATTGGAGTATTGAGCACGGGAATCTCGAAATTATCGAATCTTTTATATACATGTATGTATATGTATGTATAAATGTATGTATATGTTGCATACATTAAAATTTTTCCGGGTATGGTTTAAGATACTTTATTTTAAATTTCACTAACCGCTGCTTTTTGATCCAGTTCTTCTAGTTCATGAAATGCCTCAGCCAAGCCTGGATGAATCTCGCTTAGCGGCTGATTACCTTCACGAATATAGACCGGTATATGTCCAGGACGTGGCGGTAACTCTTGATAAGGAGCAGCATCTGGAAATAATAAAAATTTCATTTTTAATTCCTCCATTTAGCCTACGCTTCGCTACACTGAATCTTAAATCTTAGGGCTAGTACAAATATTTGCCTTTTTAAAGAAGGATGAATATACCTAAACGTCAAAATGTAAACTACAAACAATATACATAAATGATCAGAATGAAAAGAGAAGTCGATTAAGCCATGTCTGTCGGTCCGTCCGTCCGGACCCACACCACACACATCGAAATTTGTCGGAAATCTGAATTTTCCGAACAAAGACGAAAGTCTTTCAATATCACTTAACGAATTCGGAACGATTCCCCAGCCTTTTCTGAACAAAGTTGAAAGTCTTTCGCTCTGGCTAAACGAATTCGCAACTGTTTCGTAAAGAGGAAGAGGTAAACAAATTTCGAACGCATTGAAAGTGAAAACGCAAAAGGGAAAATTGTTGTGGGTAGTAGAGTGAAATTAAAATAAAGTGATATTAAAATAAAACCCTTCAAATACAAGCTGAACATTTTTTTAACTTTATTTTAAATTGAGAAATTTAAGATCGTACCGAAAACTTAAAAAAATATAAAGCAGCCATTAATCCTGGAAACCAAATGATATTTTTTACGCAATTGGAGCCTCAACTTCCGTCATCTATGGACTCTACTGCTGGAACTACCGAACACCTGGCATGTGAACTTATGTTGTTAATAAAAGAGATACAGTGAAAGTTAAGAAGTCTCAAAATTTAAATTTAATTGGCTATAAAATCGTATATATGTATGTATCTATAAAATCTTTCCATCTTTATTTGTTCATCAAAATTTGTTACAAATGCTAGTTAATCAAAATAAAGAATAAATTTGTCCACTTAATCAGATTTTAATTTCATTGAAGTACTTAAAGTTGTGTAATTATTCAAAGTAGGGCTGTGCGATTAATTGATTACTCAAAATTTTAATTAATCATAAAGTAAATAACTCAATTATTCGATTAATTGGAAATTATGATTACTCAAAAGTTCAGTTACTCGAGTAATCAAGATTTTTGGTTAACCAAAAATAAAAATATTTGAGTAATTTGCTTTATGATTAATCAACATTTCGAGTAAAATGAGTAATCAACATTTCAACTCTTTACATATGTATAAAGTAGTTAAAGTTCCTTGATACTTTGAAAATAACGTTTCTGTTTTCAAAAATTAAAACGAAACATTTTTTCATATACAGAATGTAAAAAATAAAATAAGCATTTTCCAAAGTAAACTCTTTTAACGAGCAAATTTATTTTTTTGAGTAATCATATTTCAAGTAACTCGATTAATCATTGTTTTGAGTAATCAAAATCTTGATTACTCGAGTAATTGATTAACCGAATAATTGATTAACCAACTTGCTCGAGTAATCGAATAATCGCACAGCCCTAATTCAAAGGGTAGAACTCTCAAATATCTAATTAGAGATTCTTTCATGGACAGGCCTCAACACAAATAAAAAAAATTACACAGAATTTGTTTTTTTTTTAATTCTTTCACTGTTGAAGTTTGATTTTTTTTTTAATTTTTTCATCAAAAAAACAAAAAATCTCGAATGATAAATTGCTTCTTAAGATGTACGTGATTAAGTGGAACCACTCCTTCATAAAAATTGCATAGTGTGGCATCCGGTGTGCATTTTTGCTGTAAATCAGTGTAATTAATTCACGGTGGAGTTCTAAAAAAGTCTTAAAAATTTTCGTAAAAATTATAAAAGCCTTTAGATAATGATTATTCTTCTTCTTGTTTGGCACCGTAACCGTCTACGCGATTTTGGCCGACTTCAACAAAGCACGCCAGTCGTGTCTCTTCTGTGCCAACTGACGCCAAATGGAAATGCCAAGTGAATCCAAGTTCTTCTCCACTTGGTCTTTCCATCACAATGGCCTCCCCCTTCCTCTGCTACCACCAGCGGGTTCCGATTTGAATGCTTTCAGCGCTGGAGCATCGGTGTTCATTCGAAGGACATGGCTAAGCCAGCGGAGCCGCTGTATTTTAATTCGTTGCTAAGCTCATACAGCTCATCATTCCATCGTCTGCGGTACTCGCCGTCGCCGTCGCCGTCGCCAACGCGTAAAGCCACGTAAATCTTCCGCATAATCTTTCTCTCAAACACTCCAAGAGCCGCCTCATCGGATATTGTCATTGTCCATGCTTCTACGCCATATACCAGCACGGGCATGATGAGTGACTTATAGAGTGTGGTTTTCGTGCGTCGAGAGAGGACTTTATTTCTGAATTGCCTATTCAGTCCCAAGTAGCACTTGTTGGCAAGAGTGATTCTGCGTTGGATTTCCATGCTGACATTATTATCGGTGTTAATGCGGGTACCCAAGTAAACGAAATTCTCTACTTTCTCGGAATTATGACTGTCAACAGTGATGCGGGTGCCAAAGCGCGAATTTGCTGACTGTTTGTGTGATGACAGGAGGTATTTCGTTTTGTCCTGGTTTACCACCCCAGAACCATTCGCAGTGCTTTTTTATTCAACTTGGAAAAGGCAGAACAGACTTCGCGGTCGATATCATCGACATACGCTATCAATTGCACGCTCTTATAAAATGTTGTTCCAGAGCGGTTCAGTTGTGAAGCTCTTATTATCTTCTCCAATATCAATCGCCCTGTCTGAAACCCTGTATGGTGGCGAACGGCTCGGAGAGGTCTTTTCCAATTCTAACGGAGCTGGTGGTATTGCTCAACGTCATTTTACACAGCCGTATCAGTTTGACGGGGATGCCAAATTCAGACATAGCGGCATACAGGCAACTCCTTTTAGTGCTGTCGAAAGCGGCTTTAAAGTCGACAAACAGATGGTGGGTGTCGATCCTTTCCTCGCGGGTCTTTTCCAAGATTTGACATATTCTGAATACCTGCTCTATGGTGCATTTGCCAGGTCTAAAGCCACACTGATGAGGCCCAATCAGTCCGTTGACGGTGGGCTTCAGTATTTCACACAATCTATCTATATATATAAATGTGAATGTCTGTTTGTTTATTACCTTATAACCTTTTAACCACTACACGGAATCGCATGAAACTTTGCGCACTTATTCGTTTTTACACCAGGAAGGTTATAGGTATGGTTTTGTTTGCAAATATGATGCAAATTTTGCGAGGGGGTGTGGCACCTCCCATAGGCCTGCAAATTTTTAATCAGCTATAACTTCGGAACCATAAGTCACATGAATTTGAAATTTGGTAGGTGCTTATAGTAAGGTTTATATAAATGAATTTGTAAATGAGGGCGTGGCACATAATACAGGCGTTGCATTTTTTATCAACTATAACTTCGGAACCACAAGTCACCTTTAATTCCTTTTGATATGCCTTTCGAATTTAAAAGACCTCAGTTTCCAGTTCGCTTAGCTTTTGCAATGACTATAAACAAGAATGCCTTAAAGTAAAACCCGAAACTTTATCGAAAATAAAATGTATGATAATTGTATTGGAAAATGTATTTATATTAATAGATACTTTGAAGCAGTGGCGGATCCAGCGGGGGGTTTTGGGTGTTAAACTACGTGTCAGTCAGTGGCGGACGCACGGGGTGTGTTTTAATATGGCGCATATGTATGTATAATATGGCGTCTATGTATTAAAACACCCCCCGTGGGTCCGCCACTGACTGACACGTAGTTTAACCCCCAAAACCCCCGCTGGATCCGCCCCTGCTTTGAAGTATTAAAAAAATGCTGTGAAATCATATTAGAGTTATTATTCGTAAGAAATTATATAGTATTCCTTCTATTATATGATTATAAACCGGATGAACCACTTTTTGTACTAATTAACTGAACTATTACCCGAACCGCAGTTTTTCACAAATGTTTGATCCGCAACGAAAACCGAACCACTCTTCATAAAATTTTAATGTTAATTTCGACTAAATTTTAATAGAAAAATTTTCCCCATTTTTTATTTTTACTTTTGCTAAATATGGTAATACAATGTCTTTTACCATTTGAAAATTTGTTACTACGTATAGCGTATAACATTAATTACACAACCAGCCCGAACTTTGTTAACATTTTCCGAAAGTATACCCATCCAGTAGTAAAATACTCGATGGATTTTCAAAAGTTAACTCGTATTTTTATTTCATGGCCTACTAAATCTTTTATGTCTCAGCCTAAGTAGTTTTCAAAAAGTAGAAGAAATGGTTAAAATAAATGCCTGAGCGAAATTGAAAAATTAAAGGTTAAGACATATATAGTAAAATTTCAAGCGAAATATTTTCGTAGAACATTTTAACCCATCGGCTCCCGCCTGAAAGGATCGTTTTGACCCATATTTCAAGAAACTCCGCAAAAAGCAAATTTGGAAGGTCGTTAGAGGATTGCCACAAACATAAAAGTCTCTATTTAATTAAAAAAAAAATCTATGCCAAGAAGGAATAACAGCCAAACTCAATTTTAATTTTTTTTAATAAAAAAAATTAAGTTTTTTTTTTGATTTTTTATTTTAATTTTTTAGAAACTTTTACGTTGGTGGCATGAATCATTTGCCTGAGAACACCCCTATTTTCAACTTTAGTTAGCAACCTTTCACTCTAAGCTAGAAATTATTCCTTTTTTCGGCTTTCAGTCTAAGAATGAAAAGTAAAAATTCTGCAAAGGTAATGCGCATCGCGCAAAATCTTGCTACATACGTTAAAGTTGGATTGGTCGTAAGCATATATGAGTGTTTTATTGAACTTTAGGCAAAAGTGAGTAATGTGTATAGAATACGCTATGAATAGTTTAATACTTAAGTACATACGCGTATATGTACATATGTACATATTTGTATACAAATACAATAGCTATGTATATTTGTTCACATCTGTATGTTCGCATAATTCTTCCGATGCTTCTAGCAATTGTTCTTATATCCACACATAGAGGTAAAACGAAAATTGATTGGCATCTTATTTGAGTAAATTAATAATTACGGAACTTTGACTTCTATTGGAAATATTGATGAATTGGCTGTGTACATACTCGTGGGT